TAACCTAGAAATGAAAAACTCTGATGCTTGTGAGGCTGACCAGGCGGCTGAAAGTGAAGGTGGCCTCAGGCTGAGAGCACAGGCTCTGATAGGGCCCCTAGCTGCTGGGTTTTAACTTAGGGAGCGAGTCCACTGTTGTCAGGTCTTGCTGTTTTTTAGGAGAAGCTACAAGTGTGGAATTTTTATGTGACATCCCCTAACTTTTTTTTTTTTTAGATTTGAAGTAGACTCCACCCCCAGTGTGGGGCTTGAATTGAGATCAAGAGTCACAGGCTACCACTGACTGAGCCACCAGGCGCCTCACGTCCCCTAATTCTTGAATACTAACAATTAACTGTAAAAAAAAATTAGTATGTGCTAGCAAACCAAACATGGCTGTGGGTCAGATTTCACTCATTTGCCAGTTCACAACTTCTATGGAAGAACTCATTATAAATTCTATTTCCAACCTGTTTCTCTTACCTGATGTCCCTTACCTTCTTCCCTCCTGAGTGCCAGGGAGAGAAGCAATGAAATGAAGAAATATCCGTGTGTTTTACAGCTGGCTCGGACTGTTGATCCTTCTGAGGGACAGCTTCAATATATAAATGAGGAGGACTGGGTGTGAAACACTTAGCATCAGTGTTTACTCCCCTTTTCCATGGAAAACCACCATTTTTTGCCTGACATGAATACTTCTAACAATAATGAAATGTCTTTACTCAAGAAAATATTTTGTGGGATTCATATTAGGCATAAAGGGGGTTTGGGGGCACCCGAGTGGCTCAGTCAGTTGAGCGTCTGCTTCAGCTCGGGTCATGATCTTGGGGTTCTGGGATCGAGCCCCGCTCTCGGGCTCCCTGCTGCAGGGAGTCTGCTTCTGCCTCTGCCTCTCACCCTGCTTGTGCTCGCTCTCTCAGATAAATAAAATCTTGAAAAAAGGGGGGGGGTGTTGAAGAAGAAACTCAGAGTTTAGTGGGAAATGATGTGTCTGCTGGAAAGCACTTGAGTGATGGCCCGCTGAAGTGCTGCAAAAGGATGAATGCTTCTTTAGGGAGAGAGCAGAGGGGGATCGAGGTTGGGCAGAAGTGGACCCAGAAGAAGTTAGGATTGGAAGGGATCCTGAGGACAAGATGGTTGTAGGCAGAGTGCAGAAGCAGAGGGCATTCACCAAGAAAGGGGCAGTGTGGCGGAGTTGGAGCTGGTTTCCAACAGACGAGGGCGGAGGACCCTGGGCCTTCAGGAGCCGCAGAGGAAGAGCACTTGTGGAATTCTGCTGGGTGCCAGGCTCTGTCTGCTTCCGGACTTCCTGGATACGTTATCTGACTTCATCTGGTTATACAGGCTGTGTGCAGCCTCCTGGGGAGTTGAGGCTTGCAGAAGTTTAGGAATGTGTCCAGGCTGTGACAGGTGAGAAACATGGCAGACAGAGCTGGGGGTCAAACGGAAGCCAGCCTGACCCCCACGCACCTCACTTTCTAGGGAAACTGGGTTGCTTGGAATAGATTATATAGGACATGCAGGCTAGGTCTAGTGCTCCTTTCTGGAGCAATCCTACAGTAACGGAACAGAAGTAATATGATGGGAACTAGGCATTTTAGGAGAATTTAAAGAAATGCGTTGGTAGGAGGGGCAGCAAAACAAAGAGAAAACTGTTAACCCAGCTGTGAAGTGATGAGCATCAGAATTTGGAATGGAAGAGAAAAGTGCATGGGACATTTCAAAATGAAACTGATGGGAACCTGGTGACTCAAACTCTAGGGCACAAAACAGAGGAAAGGAAGTTTAATTGAGGTGTATTTGCAGTTAATAATGGAGTCTGTGTTACATCTACTCACTGCTGTTCCTTTGTCAGAATTTTAATAATTGGTAATGAATTTTCTTTGCAGTCTTAAAATATTTGATCTTGAGTTTCTTATGCCAACGAGAATTTCTTAGGTAAAAAGACTTGAAAAGCAAATTTTCTCAAGAGCTTGGTTAAATTAATTAAAGCTGCATAATATCTTAAGGTCGAATAAGTGAGTGAAAATTTAAATTATCTTTAAATGAAAAGAATAAGAATTCATGAATGCTCACAAAGTTACAGGTTTAGTAGCGGGCAGGATGGACTTTGAAAGTCATTCTCTTTGTTTTTTTAGGAGATAAAGGAAAAGACACTGACCTAGCTGCTTCGTAGATATGTGACCTTGGGCAAGTTATTAAATCTCTTTGAATATCAGTTTCTCATTTTTAAAGCAGGGACATCAGTAGCGCCGACAGCACAGGGTTCCAGAGAGAAATAAAACCGGAGACGTGGCGGGCGCCTGGGTGGCTCAGTTGGTTAAGCGACTGCCTTCGGCTCAGGTCATGATCCTGGAGTCCCGGGATCGAGTCCCGCATCGGGCTCC